CGAGATAGCTCGTGCTAGAATCGGCTTGTTAATTAGAATGTTCGCCTTTTGCATCCAAATATAACCCAATATTTGAATCATCACTCTGTCATGGCGACATCCGATGGGAAGGCTCGACTCTCCACGTTCAGAGCGTTTGACTCTATCTCGTTCTCTATGCCTTGGCTCTCACCTCCTTGCGATGGCCCCGCCTGCTGTTCAGCCGATGGGAAGCTCAGATGTCTCCAATCTTCGATTTCTTCCGTAATGCATTTCAACCGATCCCTAATACTTTCCACCGCGTACGTCCCCAGCAGCAACCTTAGCGGAGGGTAAGAGCAGTGCCCCAACTGCCATACCAACTCCGCCGCCTTCACTGCACTTGTAGGCTGTTTATCCCCCAACCACTGTAGCACCCTTCTCGCATGCGCAGCCGGAGCTGTGGCACCGCTGTACGGGGCACTAGCAGGTTTGATCAGAAAATGCCCGAAAGCCGGCAGCGGCGAAGACAAATAATTTTCCGGGACAGGAATCCCAGGCAAGTTATCAAAATCATCCCGGCGAATATGGCCCGGCTCCACCAGCGTGCCCTTGATATTGAAGCAATCAATTTCGTACAACATGCTCTCAATCAGCCCTTCAACCGCATATTTCGACGCACAATACGGTCCCAGGCCCGGGACCCCGAGCGCCCCAGAGGTCGAGCTAAAAATCAAGTAACGGCCCACGCCCCGCTCACGGAAATGCGGCAGCGAGCACTGCACAATATTCAGCGTGCCCATAAAATTGGTCTCGAACTGATTGCGTATATCGTACTCCTCCTGGTCTTCACACGCTCCAATCACGCCGTACCCAGAGCAATTGGCGATAACGTCGATGCGGCCAAAGTGGGAGATCGTCTGGTCGATTGTGGCTTGCACCGTCTCTCGCGCACGAACATCGCAGAGGAGACCAAGGCAGTTTTTGTTTTCGGTCTGGAGGCGGGCCATGTAGGCGGGGGAGTTCTCAAAGGTGCGGCCAACCGCTGCAACGAGGTCATTATGGGCAAGGGCGGACTTCACGAGGGAGCGACCCATGTGTCCGGTGGCGCCGAATATCTATAATACGGGGGTCGAAACATATTAGCATATATAGTATTGAAGAGGTCTCGTAAGGCAGTCGATAACGTACAAGCCAAACAAGCTGTTTTGGGGGGTTTTGAGGCCCAGGTGGGTTGGTCGTCGGAGGAAGTCGTAGGCCTGCATCTCGTGCGATGGATGGGGATGCGCTGGATTTGGGCTCTTGCGGGTGGTTTTCCATAGATAATGGTAACTAGAAGTTGAGGTAGAATATCTAGTTATGGAGTTATCCAGTCTCAACAAGGATTCGGTTGAGGTGACAGTCAACCTCCGTCAAACCTTGGCTCCGGATGAGTACAACTTCCATATAATTCGATCAACTATACGATGATTGTTACTTCTCAACAGCAGAAAAGAACGCTCGTAGTCAGTTGCCATGGGCAAGATGAATTTGATAACATAGTATTTGGTGATATCCATGATGCAAATCTCGAATAATAAACCTCCCAGGTCAAAGAACAGGCCTCTTCATCAAAGCAAAGGATAATGATCATTAACACGCTAGAATTTATCGATTTACCTCCCTCCGTAATCTGCCAGCTGCCGTGGCGGGAGTCGGCTCCGGCCAATTCCCTACCGCATCATCGACTTCTTCCAGGAATGTCGCGCTGTTGTGAACACAGGTCCCTGCCAGGACGACGCGAACACCAGGTGTGCTCGCATTTACCTGAGCCACCATTTTCGCTTCCTCATAAGTAGTCCCACCAATCATGAAAATAACGATATCCTGTGGCTTGTCGCGCGTGTGCCCGCCACCTTCGAGAAAAGGGTATTGCAACTCTTTCAGCCGGCCTTTAATGAGATTTTGTAGAGTAGCTTCTAGCCGGGGTGAATGCTGTGTGTATACATTTTCCACTCCTTTTAGGCCTTTGAAGCGATCGCGAGCTCCGGTTAAAAAAGACGCAGATTCGAATAGATCCGAGAAGCCCCCGGCTACTGGAGGAGCTTGCAAGGAGTGATGGTATGCTAGAAGTTTTGGGATGATATTGATCCGATGAGGAGCAACGTCTCCGGCGGCGGTGAGCAGGTCAATAAGGACAGGAAGGGCGTTTGAAGGCTGTTTTTCGTATCGAATGGCATACAGAGAGACTAATTGCAGTTTGTTCTCTATCGTAACTGCAGGGGATTGTATGAGTTTCTGAAGGGCCTAAGAAGATAGTTAATACAAGGATTTGAAGGAAAGAACGGCAAAACAACTGTGACCAACCTTGAGATCATTAGAATGGTTATCATTGCATGCAAGACTCTGTTCTAACTCGCTGACATCCAACAAATTGTGCTCTCCAACCTTTCTGCTCAGCTCTCCAACAAGAGTAACATGCTTGCTCACATTTCCAGATAGTTTTCGGAATTCAGGGTAATCCTCGACAAAGCGCTTCATGTCCGCGATGGACTCTATACTCATGCTATTCTTTGTCTTCGCCTGGTATTGCTCAACATATTCTTTGATGCTCCCACCAAGGTCCCCAAAATTGGAGTACATATTCTTCTTGAAAAAAGGGTCTTGATCCTGAGAGACCACGATCTCTTTAAGCTCTGGACGGATGTCCGGTACCTCGCTCAAGTCAACTCTACCGTTATTAATCCCCAGCAGCTCATGGACCATGGCTTGATACGTCCATTGGTTCAATAGTGGCGTAATAGGATCGTCTCTTCTGTCTAAAATAAGCAGAATTGGAGGCGTGTCAGGCTTCCTGAAGTTGAATAATTGCTCTTCCTGTGTGAGTTGATACCGAACTTCTGTAGCAAGCTTTTTGGCGATTAAACTGTTCTTTTCGTATCTGATTAGGGGCTTTAGTTTCAGCGACAGCAATAACGCGATCACGCCTTCAGTTGTCCTTTGCAGTGTATCCGAGTTCCACAGATCTGGAGTATGGCTCCATATCCTCTGCTTCGGAAAGCCGATATTTAAAGAGCAAAGGTCCGGATTGATCACTAGAAAGTCCGCGAAGTACTCCTGAACCGCCTTTACTACTTCATGGTCGTCTGCTTCGGCCAGTCTCTCGAGAGACGACTTGCGAACAATGTTGCTAAAGTATATATAATACTCGCCGTATTTCGGTTCTCGTAACTCGTCAATAAGATACTGTATTGAATCTGGAGACGGCCTGACAAAACATAGACATCTGAGATGTCTCATCTTCTCTCGTGATTGATTATCAAGGCGGTCGATAAGGTAGACTTCATGGTTAAGGAGGGAGGATTGTGTTGTGGCGCTGGACACGATTTGTACCTTGTCTCTCAGTCAGTCAGGGATCATCACAGAACAGAGGGCCACGCCTCCCACGGTCTCACTATCAAGCAGTAATATTTTCATTTTGGCGGCTGACGAACCGGGTGCCGACTGGTCGCCTGCGGACACCATCTTGGAGATGTATCCGGAGACCGCGGCGACGACGTCCATCTTGGCCACAGCGATTGGGCTCTTTTTCAGGCGTAGCAATAAGGCGCAATAGCTAGAAAAGTACGGGATACCAGTTCAAGAAGAAAGACAGGAAGCGACTCTTCGCTGCCTTTGTTGTTGCGCAGCTCCAGCCAACTGCTCCGCTCCCCTGTAGGGCCATCACCGGCTCACGTGATGGTCTCCGTCATCAGCGATAGCTACAGAGTACATAGAATCAAATTTCTATGATTCCAAGGAGCAAAAAGCAAATCTAGCCAGGGCAAGGGAAACTCTGAAACAATTAAAAGCGCTGAGTGCAATTGATTGTTATCACTAGTTAACTAACTAGTTATATTACAGACTACAATAACCATACTATTGTGCTACGCCTTCGCCTTGTCTGCGCAAATATCCACTTCAACAGCATGTGGCATATGGATGAAGCCACATTCTTACTTGAGAACCTGCACGCCGCATACATTTAGGTAGAATAGAGGGATCGTCGCTCAGCTGGACGTTGTTCTTGCTCCCTTGTACAGGGCACCGGGCGGAGAGGTGCTTTTGGGTATCAGGCGCTGGCCGGGGAATTGGCTTAGCCACTCTCTGTTGGCTTATTTTCAGTTTGTGAATACCTTTATATTCCACCTCTATCAGTATTTTGTTTGTCTTCTTGTGAATGAGATCCAGGCCCTGCCAGACTCGAGCTAGAGTCATTTCAGGGATATAAATCATGAATTTGAAAGAGCTGTCGTTTGCATGGAGGAGTCCACATGGCCTCGGGGCGGGTATCGTAGGTTTGTTCGTCGCCAGGTATTGCAGTGTGGTATTGTCAGCGCAATCAAACCGCATTTCTTATGGCCTTGATGCCGATATCTCCATCACATTTAAAGGCCATTTAACTGCGAGGAAATGGGCTCCTCAAAACGATTTCACAGCGCTGCATAAGCTCAACTAAAGCTTTTGACATGATAGTAGTGTCATCACCTAGTATCCTTCGGGCCGGGCCAGGTCGTTGGGATATACCAGTAATGGGTTCCGGAGATCGTAAAGACACACGGATATCATCTTCAACTGCAGGGTCACGTAGTTCTCTAAAGCAGAGCAGATCTTAGCTAGTTGCTATTGGAAATGAGGTTTGTATCTCGGAGAGACGCTCAGAATGGTTCTTTGGGAACTGTATTGTTAGATCAACTTCCGGATCTGCTTCTATTACCGCTCTTCTCAATTTGCTTATAGTGTGAATGTTGAAAATGAGTCGCACGATGTTTCTTAGGGATTATAGAATCAGAGTCATCATGGCCTCTTCTCTTTGCCATTTTCCAAAGGAAGTGTTGAATCGGTACCACGGTGTTGGATAATGATAGAGAGGATGGCTTGTTATGATGATCCGTAGTTAACTAGTGAACTTAAGACACAGCTTGTACAAAATTCCAGGGCAAAAACAACAATCCCCACAGGAAAATCCACTCTTTTGGCAAACAGGTTCTCATTCTTATCCTGACGCATAGTCCTAAGCTCGTCGTCAAAGCCGCTCAAGCATGAGTTTGACGACTCATTCTACAGTCTGATCTTGGACATGGTGACAGAGCTCTTGATGAGCTTCGACATCAGCATCCGGTCCCAAGATGCTACCCTATATTAATACACGTTGGTTACTGTTCAAGTCCCTGAGGTGCCTCCCAAACCACTGACCAAATGCACTTCCCACAGCCTTTGTTCCCCTCTCCGAGCTCACTGGCGCCTCAATAGACGAACGTACGTCCCCCAACTAAGAGCCCGAAACTTAACTAGCTACCCTAATCTCACACCCAATCCGCAGTGAAGCTCGTAACCTCCTTCCTACTCTCCTATCCCCTCGCCGCAATCCTAAAACGCCTCCCGGACTCCAAACCATGGCAGAAAAACACCTTCATCATCCTCGTCTCCATCTTCTACCTCATCGGCCTCTTCGACCTCTGGGACGGTCTCCGAACCCTCCTCTACAACGCCGCCGGCGCATATGCAATCGCATACTTCGTCGATGGCTCCCTGATGCCGTGGATCGGCTTCCTGTTCCTCATGGGCTACATGTCCCTGAGCCATATATACCGACAGATCGTGGCGGAGCCCTCCGCCGTGGACATCACGGGCGCGCAGATGGTGCTGGTCATGAAACTGAGCGCGTTCTGCTGGAATGTGCATGATGGGAGGCTCCCGGAGAATCAGCTCTCGGACGCGCAGAAACATGCGGCGATCCGGAATATGCCCGGTGTGTTGGATTTTGCGGGCTATGTGCTGTTTTTCCCTTCGCTGTTTGCCGGGCCCGCGTTTGATTATGTCGAGTACCGGCGGTGGATAGAGACTACGATGTTCGATCATCCGCCGGGAGTGGACCCGTCAAAGACGCCTCCAACCCGTAAGAAGAGGAAGATTCCACGGAGCGGGCGCCCTGCCATGTTGAAAATGCTTACGGGTCTCTTGTGGGTATTGGCATTCATCCTGATTGGGCCGTGGTATGATAAATCTCGAGTTCTTAGCCTGGAGCATCTAGGCTATGGCTTCATCAAGCGCGTCTTTATCCTGCATATGCTTGGCCTCACCGCAAGATTCAAATACTACGGCGTGTGGACGCTCACCGAAGGCGCCTGTATCCTGAGCGGCATGGGCTACAACGGCTTTGACCCGCAAACTGGAAAAGCCCACTGGAACAAATTGGAGAACGTGAATCCCTGGGGTCTGGAAACAGCCCAGAACCCTCACGGGTATCTAGGTAATTGGAATAAGAATACTAACCACTGGCTACGGAATTATGTCTATCTACGGGTGACTCCAAAGGGCAAGAAGCCTGGCTTTAGAGCTAGTCTTGCGACCTTCTTTACGAGCGCGACGTGGCATGGTTTCCACCCGGGATACTATCTCACCTTTATCCTAGGCGCATTCCTCCAGACCACTGCCAAAAGTACGTTATACCTACCTGAATTTGATCTCACCTATGAGTAGTGCCAATTAATTATTCTCCCAGACTTCCGCCGTCACCTCCGCCCCTTCTTCCTCACCCCGGACGGCTCCAAGCCCACCCCCCTAAAACGATACTATGACGTCCTAGGCTGGCTCACCACCCAACTCACCCTCTCTTTCATAGCTGCGCCCTTCATCCTCCTCAAATTTACAGACTGCATCACCGCTTGGGCACACGTCTATTTCTATGGTATTGTCGGTATCGCATCCTCGCTAGTCTTCTTCGCCAGCCCCGGTAAGAAATTGCTTACAAAGAAACTCAACGCGAGGAATAAGGGGCGCGCAGCTATTACTGGAACGCCGCCGCGTGGCGAGAAGGGGCGGGAACCTGCTCGCCCACCCACGTTAGGGTTACCAGAAGATCCGGAGCGGGATTTCGATGAGGCGGTCGCCGAAATTAGAGGGGAAATTGAGGCGAGGAGGAGGAAGGGAAGTGTGGTCACGATGCCGTCGGGGCAGGAGTTGCGGGCACTGATTGAGGAGAAGCTGAAAAGGAGATAAAAACAGAGTGTAAGTGTGTGTATTGCGAATTCGCGCATGCGCCGTTCAAGATCTCTTACTCGTGCGACGATGCAGAAGGTGAGGATCCTGGCCTGCATTGACCAGTAGTTGTCGTAGAGCCGTCTTTTTCATAACAATCCAATAGTATTGGGTAGTATTGATGGTCTCCCCTTGCACGCTTCCCGTCCAATGAGAACAGCAGGGAGTTCTGACTCGCCGCAAAGAATTTCCAATTCCGAGAGAAAAAAGCAGGAATTTGAATCATAGCGCCCTACAGGGTGATTTCCAAGAGATAAGACGAACGAACTCCAACCCCCATTTAAAGTAGTTCAATTAAATCCAACAAAAAATTCCTCTAACCAAAACGGGGTTAGTACCTGTACAAGGTAGGTAGTTAAGAGGCGGGAAACGAAATGAAGAAACTTCCAGGCGCCCGAAGACAGGCGCCTTAGGGTATTTATACAGGCAAGCCGCGCGTATGTAGGAAGTACAAAGCTGTAGAAGCGGTAGTAAAGCTGCGGAGTAGAAAGAAAAGCCAAAAACCCGAACCGTTGTATAGGGTCATCAAAGGCGTTAAGTCAAAAGTGTCAAATATGTCGCTGAATAAACAAAAGTTCTATTAAATAACCGAGCAGTTGACGCCGTCGTAAAGTTCGTAAGGGGAGTGGGAATGATCCCGAGCCCCAAAAACGGATTTTATTCGGTCGTGGGGTCATATATATAATAATAAAGAAAGCGTGAAAAAGCGTAAAATCGTATGGTCGGAGACCATGAAGAAATCGAGATATTTTTCTTAAATTATGTTTTTGACTCCTAATATTGATAGGGTCACCTAGATGGGAACGTTAGATTTGAAAGTGACCGAATGGTAAATAAAAAATAAACTTACAATAGTAGCAATTATTACAAGCCCAACTGGCGTCATACAACGGTTGAGCCTTCGCCACCATCTAGCGTTCTCGTATCGGATCTGATCTATATGTTTGACTCGATTGCTGAACGTTCGTTCAACGTCTGGCTGATCGGTGGTGAATTCCTCGCTCGGCGTAAATATTTTCGGAGGGAGCGGAAGGAAAGACCCGACAAACCACGCTGAAAAGAAGTTAGTTACAACCTTGAATGAATGGCGGCGGAAAGCTGCATAAAGAAAAAGCATACTGAGTGGAAGTAAAAACCCCAGGCAAAATAAATAGATCTGGACGTTGCGCCAACTTATTATACCCTCCGCAGATTCATCCAACGAGGGAGGGTTCCACAGCGACCTTCGAAGGGAGCCAGTACGATGATCCGGAAAGAGATGTGGTGACCAATTTGGAGGAGTCGCTTCTCGAGAAGGGGTCCTGATAGCGGTTTCCTGGGCGTGTTGATGGCCACCAACCCAGTGAATCCTAGGATCCCTCGTGTCGACAGTTGGAAGGGCTAACCGAGTGTTGGTGTTTTTCCTAGGGCGGGTACGCGTGCGAGCTACTTCTAGGGGTGCGAGATGCGCGGCGGGGCGAGCACTTGCAGCGGTCGAGGGGCGGCTACCTTCAACCAAAGACAAGGCCGAAAGTTGAAATCCGGTCCCACCGCTACGATAATAGACCTTCGCCCAAGAAGGGAGAGCGTTGAAAACAGAGCTGGCGCTGGATCCTGGCCTGCTCATCAATCGAAAGCTATCAAATCTTGATACCATCGAGCGGTTACTTAATGATCCGGATCGTTTTGTCCGCAGGTGACAAGGCTGGAGTCGGCTGAGGGTGTCACTTCCTTCGTCGCTTTCAGATCGAGCCACAAGCCGAATTGAAAAGTCGGAAGGGCGACCGCCAGTTGCATTATCTTTCGATGGGCCCAGGGTAGATTCCGTTTGGTCAACCTGGAGCGAGGCAGTCGAGCAGCTCACTTCCCTTTCCGCAGACCATTCAGAAGGTACAATTGACAAATGGCGGTTCCGGCCCGATTGATATCGTGTTAGTTGGGTGGATTGTGACGGTAGTATAGATGACGATCCTTCTACCAAGGAGCCGGTGGAAGCTGGTGAACGAATTGCTGGATATCTGATAAGTGTGCCGCTATCAAGGGCTGCTTGGACCTCGGATGGCGTCTGTCCACTGCGGGTCGAGGTGGAAGCTGTCCGCGTATGGGTCGATCCTCCTCGTGAGAGCGCGAAAGACGACGCAGACTGGTGTGATCGTAAAATCGCGCTGGGTGGACTGGAAGAGAAGGAGAATGACTGGCTGCTATCGCGGTCCAAAAATGCCGGATTCTGCTGCCGCGGATTGACGTACCGTCTGGCGGTCCCAAAGGTATTGGCAGAGTATAAGGACGAATCCGAAGGGCTTTCTTTGACGTAATAAGGTGACGAGGTGGCAACTGGCATAAAATTGGGAGATGAGCTATTCAGGGGAACGATGTTTGGACTGGAGGTGAGGCCAAGCTGAACTACATTCAGGCTCGAGTCGCTGACTGAGCCCGAGTCGGACTGTACAGGCGTGCACGAATCTCGAGGGACCGGCTTGATGGTTGTGTTCAATGGCGGGAGAGAGGTCCCATCACTGCTTGCAGATTTTTCCTCGCCCGATTCGTTGCCTTCGTCGATGACAGGTGTCGCGAAATGGGGTATGGACGTATTGCTGGAGTTTTGGCTTTCTCCCCAGATGAAGCTGGAGAGGTTGCCCTCTTGGACCAACGTGGAGAGTTCCGAGACACTGCCACCATTGTCTTCGGGGAAGTTTCGACTGGTATATTCCGCGCTCGAGGGGGAGTCGGCCGGGTCATTATGGAACGAAGCTGAAACAGGGTTCGATGTCAGAGGACCAAATTGGTTTGCAGGCGCGGTGGGTAGGAGGATGTGTTCTGGTTTGGTGGGATACGGATCCGCGGAATAGACGTCGACATCGTCATCGGAATATTTATCCATCACGACTCTTAAGGTCGAGGCTGCAGGAAGTTCGTTGCTTTGAGACGGAGTTCTTTCATGCAGCGGTCTGCGTCGCTTGGAAGATGGGGACAGGGGCGGGATAGACAATGACATAGTGTGTGAGAGATCTGGAACAAGGGCTATTATCTCATTAAGATTCCAAAAAGAAGGGCCATGTAATAATTAAAGCAAAAAATATAAATTAAACCAAGTCCTAAGTTTGCCAATCCCCAAGAAAAATGAATGTCTAGATGAAAGCAGAACTTTTCAGTCCCTTTCCCTTCCTTTGAGGAGGGGGGAGAAAGAGTGTGATGTCGTTTGGGCAGTTTGACGGCGAATGTCGTGGCAAGGAGTGCAATTGATATGCTTGAGCGCGGGCTTTGTGTGCTTCAGGGGTGTCAAACGAGGGATTGGAGGTGCAGCTAAAGTGTTTTATGTCGGCGGCAAAAAGCGCTGTATCTCGAAAACGAATGGCTCAAGCGGACGATTAAAGACAGGCAATATTAATGCTGTGTATATTAATATCAAGAACGAGTGAATGACATGAATATATCTAAAAAAGAGGGACTAAAACCGCAAAAAAAGCCGACAAAAACGACAAACGACCGAAAAAAAGAGTGGAAGGGGACCGTTGACTTGCGAGAAATGAAGAGAGAAAGATGAGGAAGAAGAGACGAAGAGGAAGCGAGAGAGAAGGCAAAAGAAGGTTGACAGCGTGGAAGAGCCGACGTTGGGTGAGGGGCCGCGCTAGCCTGCTTTGGGCTGGTGCCGTGGGAGCGCTAGGCTGCCTCGGGACTAGTCAGGTACCTGAAACGAGGCGGTGAGGCGCTTGGACCAGGCACGTGATATCGCGGTTGTTTGATTGGCGGGAGATTGTCGCTTTGAAACGGCCGGCGCGATTGATTGGCTCGGGAGGCTCGGTCGCGAAGAACGCCGGTCGTCAGCCTGGGCGATCGCGTTGGCAGCAAAGACGATCCTGTCGAACAGACGTCTGGAATCTTGTGATGGAACTAACTAAATCATTGATTGATGGGGGATCCATGGTCCTTCTCCTGTGCAGACATCTCGCCTAGGACAGAAGCCCCCACAGGGCTGAACCCGGCGATCGAGCAGGATGGAATCAATCAGCCTGATGGTTTTCATGACACCATGCCTCAACAAGAAAGATTGAACGAGAAAAAGGGGGCGAACAACCTGCCGTTGTTTCAGCAATGGAAGCACTGGCCATCTCGACTCCTTAAATTTTCGATGAGATTGCACCTGAGCAGAGGGCTGCAAAAAATATATATACAAGACCGCAGACTGTGCTCTGCGCATGTGCATCAGAGGCTTTCACCTCTTATATGTCGGCGAATATAATCGCACGACTAAACTCGACGATCTATCGCCAGCAACATCTTCAACATATCCTCTATCCCCAGATCTGAAAAACAAAAAAAGCTCTCCAAAACGCCCCTAATCGTCCAACTTGTAGCCACCGGGTTGCAATCTCTCAAAGATCCGCAGTGGATCATACCGATCCTGTGCATTGCGCAATTTCCGCACATTCCTGGGGCCATAGCTGGCGATCGGCTTTTGGTTCGGAGCCGCGTAGTTCATGTAGAGGTAGTCGTGGTCGAGGCCTTTGGCCTTTGCTTCGGCTTTGCTTCGCTCAAGCACACGATCAACAACGCCGTGAACGATTTCATCGTTATTGCTATCGGCCCACATGAAAATGAAGTTGACCACTGTGTCCAAGCAAAAAAAAATAGTTAGTCATGCATGAAACTTCGCTTCCCAACACAAGGTGGATATGTGAAACTTGCCGATCAGTGGCCCATCGTTAGGGCTGACATTAAGCGCGTTTCCACCTTTCTTGGAGAAATGTGAGCTAATCGGAGTTGTGAGAGGCTGGAAGGAGGCAATGGATTGAAAGATCTGGGTCTCAGCCTTCTTGGTCTCCTCAGCCAGAATAGCTGTCATGCGATCCTGGATTTCCGCATTATTCTTAATGGTGAGAGTAAGGAACAGTTGATTATAGTTGCCTGTCATGCCACCCGCTCCGAGCTCCGTGGTATGATTCGACATACTGGCGATACGCAGACGATTCATCACCGGTTCAAACTCAAGGAGGTCCTTGAAGGTCTCGTTGAAGATGGGTGGATATGCGATGGGTTTAGAGTAGTGGAAGAAGACATTGTTGAACGGGTTTCCTGCTCGAGTTCCAAAGGTGGTGATGATGGCGAGGTTGGGGTCCTCCGGTGCCCTCTCATTGTATAACGCAAGTCCACGGCTGATCGCTTCGTTGGCTTCCGGACGGTACATAAGTCGGCCACCCCAGAAATCGCCGAGAGAGTAGGTTTGAAATTCAAAGTGGAGGACAATGCCAAAGTTATTGCCGCCGCCACGCAAAGCAAAGTACAGAAGTGGATGGGATTGGTGGGTGACTTTCAGGATCTGGCCGTCGGCCATCATGATCTAGTCAACGTGGTTAGCGTATCCTTTCTGCGTAGCACCAGGTCAAGTCGTCAACCCATACATGATACTTCAGGACGTTATCACAAGCAAATCCACCAAACGAGGACACGAACGAGATTCCGCCTAGTATTCAAATGAATCAGATGTCTGTTCTACCTTCATGAACTCGTGGCTGCAAAGAACTCACCACCAACAGTCAGGCCACCAACGCCAACATGGGGGTCGCGGCCTCCGATGACCGTCAACTTGTGCTGGTCAAGGAACTGATAAACTTCAGCCCACTTGGCCCCTGAGCCAACGACAGCAATCTTCTTGTCTCGGGACAATTCAACTTCATTAAAGCCGCGAAGATCGATCACAATACCATCCTCGATATTTGATGACCCCGGGGTGGTGGAATGGCCTCCGGAGCGAACAGCAAAAGGACACTGTGCCTTCCGAGACATGGCGAGCGCAACCGCAACGGACCTGTGCCGTTTGGCTGCGATAAAGCAAGAAGGCTCCAGCATGGTTTGCTGTTTAGCCCAGTAACTCCCTTGGTTTTCATCGTAGAGATTGGAGCTGGGCAGCTCAACTTCTCCAGGAAGATAGTGATATAAAACCCGACACTTTTACCACAGCTCTATCAGCAACCAGCATACGGGGAGGAACACGGAAACCATACAGCGATAGAACACCGCGCACTGAGGTTGCGCTTCTCGTGCTCAGGGCCCTCGAGTTCCCTTGCATATTCCTCGAGACCCAAGTCCTTGATCATATCGTCCAATGGACGTGGAACGTAGTCTCGAGGCCGGATACTTGCTGCGGCTGCCATCACGGCAATCGCCGGCAAGAGCCATGCCGACAAGGAGGAAGATCGCATGATGCTTAAGTTCGATCACTGACGCATTGAGTCCCAGCGACGAGCGACAATATTCAAAGAGGCATAAACGGGGTAGAGTAAAGACGACTCCACCTGAAATGAAACAAAAAAGATCACTACAAAGAAGAGACGGGGAAAACGCACGATATAAAAGAGCGAAGGGGGGTCAAAGCCGAACCACGTAAGTAGTCCCTGCTCCGTGGCTTGAGGGATGCTGGAAAGAGGGCAAGATAACCAGACTCTTTCCCTCCCTTTTCCAGTCTCCGCACCGGCTATCCAGTCAAACGGATCGCAAGATTGCTCGCGACTCGTTCCATGTTGGATCCCATACCTGGCAACTTTTTAGTCCTCAGTAACTGCGCAATCCACTTGTAATCCCTGTTGGCGCAGATGCATCACGAGTCTGCGGGCCGGGATGCAGCCGTTCGAACCAACCACATCCAACATCAATACACCGCTTCACCTTTCTTGTTCAGGGTCCAATCCAGAAAATGATTCGAGAACCCTTCCTTGAGGTTCCTCGGCCTGCACTCCGGGGGCGTGGGTTGAATCCTCGCCATACGGAAAGTTGTATAGAACCGAAAATGTCGCAAGAACACCTGTTCCTGTGCGTCAACCCCGGCGAGCTAAGCAGAAAGGCCGAAGGTGACAAGGGCCATGGATCTTGACAAATTGAGAGACACAATCCAGTGCACAAAAGTCAACAAGCAAGAGATATGTAGATATGTGGTGCATTGCACGGAGAACATCAGCGTCCCAACAGCACGATAGGTTGGAGCACACAAGGACACCCATGCCACACGTGATCCTCTCATCAAAAGGCCCAAGTTGGTCATTTTATCAAAGCAAGACCAAATTCAAGACATAACCGAGTCTGTGGGAAATTTCTTCGGAAGATGCGAGCCAACCCGGTTGGCGTTACGCCAGCTTGCGGGCCTCCACGCGCGGCGGAACTGGGCACGCCTTTGCCGTTGCATTAGTCCAATGGTGCTCTGATCTGCTAAAAGGCTTGGAGTCGGAGAAAATAAATAAACGAGACACGGGGAGCATGCTGGAATCGGGCCGCGGTTGGCGCGCCCGTGAGGCTTGTTGCTCCCTGTGCGCAGAGGAGTCATTCCGACAAAACCCTCCGTCGAAGAGTTTATAACTGTCTCCTCTCTCGGAGGAAGAGCGGCAAAGCTATGGGAAATGGCTGGATGTACAGTTGACATCTTCATGGAAGAACAACTTACCGCGAAGTTTGCTTTGAGCATTGCTTTTCTGAAATTGGTTAACAAGTGTCAAGCGGTGGATATTTGGGGCTTAGCTAGCTCGTGAAGCGACTCTAGAACTCGGGAGAATATCAGCAAACGCCCAGGTGGCTGATGGCGCTCCATGAATATTTCATCCAAGGAGGCGAGAGCAACCGACAAGACTCCTTCGCTCCCGTTTACAGACTGGCTTGACTTCATGCGTGGCCGCTGCACTGGACCAAGGGCAACCAGCTCGCTTCGAATCCTCTCGGATTTTGACTGCATTTCGCTTTAAATTAGTTAAGTCAGTTCGTTCAAGCCCCTCTCTGCTCACCGTCCTTCAACAGGCTCTCCAACCGGCAGCGGAAACTATCCTGATGACCTCTTCCCTTCGTGTTGCCTTGCGCAGTCAGCTGGAGAAAGGCGAATGGAGCCCATCGACCATCCGTCCCGCTTCCCTTCCCTGCTCCACGCGACTTCGGATCCCGAAAATAACTCCTTTCTTTTTTACACCGGGTCGAATCAGCCAAAGAAGCGAGTATCTCGGGGATCCGCTTGCGTTGCGATTCCCCCGCTTTCCAACCCCGCCCTTGGGAGTCTTGCATTGCATTGCCAGTCCAGAACTTATCGTATTGATGCGCAAGATGACCTCCGATGTGTCTGATGGGGATACCTAGTGCAAGATTTACACGGCAGAGGGGATGGCGTCATGGCTGATGATTTCTTGATAGGCTCACTTTCGAACGATATCTCGATTGAGCAAGAATCCACATGGGTCGGCGAGAGCAGTCAAACAACCCCGCGGTAGAAGGGAATCAGCTGTCGACAGTGACACCTCTACATGATCTTGACATTTGGGTTGAAAAGCATTTGACCTTGCGTTGAAGTCTGAACTGATTGCCAACCCAAGATAGGCCTTCAGAAACGCCCCTATCTCATGAAAGTCGGCACTTCAATTGTCTACACATAGTCCCGCTACCATCTCAGAGTCCTTCCCCATGCTGTCATCCTTTCACGCATTCAGTCCAACACCGGTTCCTCTGTGTCTCCCAACTTTATCTGGCTAAGAGCCGTATGGAACCATTTCGACTTCTTTGGAGGCACGACACAAAACACTCCAGACCAACCGTCCACAGGTCCATCAGAAGGTCGCAAATCAAATATGCCACCGGTCAGGTTTGATAGTCGCCAGGGCCCTTTGGTTCTCGGGATCCTGTTGACTGACTGAAGCTGGCAAGACAGCATGGATTCTCGTTGGATGACTTGGGGTTATTGTATTGCCCTAGTCATTGTTCGTAGACAAGATCAACGGCAAGGAGATGATGGTTCACTTCGGATCTATTCTCCCATAATGGAACCCCAGATTTCATTGTTAGTTATTTAGGAGTCCTGACCGGAAGAATTTCGTACCGGGGCTCACATACCTGATGTTGTGTGGTGACCAGCACGCCGTTCTTTGGGGCCAGGCTCTCCCGCGATGAAGAGGTTTCCGGTCCACCATATACCGTTGTGATATGCTGGCTAGCGGTCGGGCTATATGGTTGCATTTGAATGGAGTGGAATTTCCGGTGGCTTGGCCATTGGGTATTGCTCGTGCTATAGGTCGGGGATGTAGAACTTGATGTTTTGCGCACAAAGCGTAAAGCTGGTAGAGAGCCAACGATGATTGCTAGTTTAAAAATGATATCAAAATCCGAGTTCAGATAGAGTAGGGCAATCTGGGGCTTAAGCAAAATGGAGGCTGGAAAATTAGAACTTACCAGTTGCCGCTTCCGTCGAGCCCCAGAGAATTAGCCATATAGAATTGGGGTTCGAGCTCCTCGTTTTGGAGGTAATCTGGATCAACCGGATAGTAGCAGTGATAGTGCAAAAGATACCGACTGAAAACAACGCGCCAACTGCCAGCTTTCGCCGAAAAGACATCTGTAATCCCCATATAAGTCGTAAAGGGAGGATCATAACTGGATTGGCAGCGTGTCAGGGAGCCATACCGCGAGGACATAGGGATGTGGATAAACAACTCACTGAGTAAATCCGTCGATATGTCCGCTGCGTAGGAACCGTAAAAATTGAGCTTTCGTGCAAGGGCAGCACTGGGTGTCGAGCAGAAGGCTTCGGCCCGAGAATATGTCAGCATAGAATCTAGATCGCAAAGAGAACGGTAAACTCACTGCGCAAATCCTCTTTGAGAGTCGCAACTCCACCGCAGGAGGTGAAAGTAGATATGAAGCAAAACAAGAAGGTAACGATCGTGTAGATCAAGACAACCATCCAAACCTTCAGCTGACGCGGGAGCCCGATCATCAAGCGACGGAAGAGCGTGAGGAGGGAAAACTTCACGCTCCAGAGAAGGCACCATAGAAGTACGGTCGCAACGTACATCAGGGTTATGAAATGTTCCATATCTTCAAGCGCGGTCGGGTAGGGCTCCGTTAAGCCGCTATTAAGAAAGTTCAGCCGGTAAACTGGCGCCATCGAAACGAGCAGGACGATTTCATATGCGAGGAAGAACATGAAGGCCAACAGCATGAAGAGGCACTCCAGTTCTCTTAACCGGTTGTGTTTCCATCGTATGAATACGGATAATAGATATACGGCCGAAGCGGTACATAGAAGAGCGATGACGACCTTGAAGAGCGCCGGCTGCTCAAGGATTATTTCGTGCTGCGCAGCTTTTGTATTTTGCATGGTTGCTCGAGTCCATACAGGAGATCCTGCGAGCCTCCTCCCTGATCTATCCCAAGTACCACAATGCGCTCAGAGATTGTCAACGCATTCTCAACCCAGAGGGCCACTCCTGCGATCCGTTTCGAGGGGATGTCGCCTTCAGAGGCCCAACACAAGCCCGGGTGGAATTGGCTGGATGCGGTTTTGCCAAATTGATATGGGAAGTTTTCCCTCAGAACTCAAGATGAAAAGAGGAATTCGTGTCAAGATCAATCTCGCCATCTCGACTGGAAATGAAAGACGAGAGGCGTTTTGCACCGCCAAAACCGCCTCCAACCAGGATCTTCACTTCCATTTGGCTGTTCGATGATCGTTAACTTTGCAAGATTCAAGGGCTAACAGTGTTTGGCGAGACGATAGCACTCTCTCCAGTGCCACATTTGACAGGGATGATGGTTTTGGTTTTGCTGTACGGGGTATAGTGTAGGGAGACTTTTCCGAGGCCTTCGATCATGTGTCACTAGTTAGTTAACTAGATGGGCAAGGTTGTCGCTGTTCCAATTCAACACTCGATGGATTGTGTGGACGTCCATTGTGGTGGTTAAGAAGGGGGACATCGCACTGTCACCTCCTCAATCCCTCAAAGCATCCTCAAGAGAGAGTTCATTCAATCAGATGTGAATAAATCAATAATAATGGATCTGTTGCCAGTGGATGGACCCCAGCGATGGCATCGGCTTACCGAGAGTCCGAGACCATTTCTTCGACTGCATTTGAAACCGCAAGGATTGCCCCAGGACCGCTCCCTGCGCTTGAAGTTGTCCGCCATTCCAGGCCGGAAAACCACCTGGTTTCCCGATATTAAAGAGTTGTCTTTCTTTCAATCTGATCCTCGAGTTTCAGGAAAAGCTTTTCTTACTGACACTCCTCCACAGTCCCACAAGATCTCCGAGGATTCCATTGTATACAGAGGAGGGGTGATGGACTGCACAGCGCTGCGATAACAAATCAAGATTTATGCATGTCACTTTACCCCGAGCTTTGCGACTTGGATAGCCCTGTACGCAGGTTAACCCTGAATCTTGCCTTGGCTCAGCTGGAGGCGACGGTCACAGACATCACGGGCTGATGTTGATCCGTAAACTCATGATCTGTTACGAACAACGTGTTCTAAACATCCTACCGAGAATATCAAGCAAATTTTGTCAATACGAGAGAAGGGATGATTAGTTACATAGTTAACAAGCTACTCAGCTTTCAACTTGAGAAACCACTAATAACCAGATCCTCTACAGTCGTCAAAGCCCTCCACCACCACCAATTCATCTTCTTCATCCTCCTCGTCTTCTTCCGCAGCCTCAGCTTTGGCGGCGCGTCGCTTTTCGATACCCGCCTTTGCTGCAGCCGAAGCCTTGGCGGACCGCTCGGCCTTGATAGGCGCGAGAACCTTCTCCATGGCTTTGACCAGTTCTTCCTGGTCAGCAACGCAGGGCCTACCAAGGATGGCAGCAACGGCGAGAGACCCCCGAAGGGCGATAACTCGATCCAGCTCAGGGCTGGAAGGCGACTAAGCAGAACAAAATTAGCAAATATACGCGTGTTGCGATGCAGCCTTACTTACAGGGAGGCAGGGTCGGTGCTGGGCTTTGCACCTGGCGCACTTTTTGCCTTCCGGGCAACAGAAAAACAACATATCCCCATAGCGGGGCAGGCAGCGAGCACACGGATATAAGCTATAGCAATTAGCAACGTTCTGCAGTCACCACTGCACCAGTGGTGATGAAGATAGGAAAGAAATGAAAACACGGCTTGAAACAAGTGTTTCGAGCACATAGCAAGCCCTGCTAGCCATGGGGAAGTAGTTCAAGGAACTACGCCGCTCCTAAAAACGCGAAGGCATATATTGGCAACAAACGCAAATGACAATTGGTAACATGGGTTCGACACGCAAATGTCGGCAGACAATGTTGACAACAGCACAAGCGACGACTCATAACATTGGCTTGAACACAGTCGCCGTATCCATCCACTTACATCGCGCGGGCGATCGTTGCCTCCATCGTGCCACAAGAGGGAGTGTTGGAAGACATGGTTGTAGTTGGGGAGCACACGAGAAGGTAAGCGTGTGGTAAGAGGTGTGCTTGAAGAAAGCAGGAAGGATGCAGCAAGCGGACGACAGAAAAAGCTCTTGAGCACCATGCGCGATTCACTACCATGACAACGACTCGCCATAACGTCTATCGTCAACATTGCACGACGCGTCTAGCGACACCACCCATAACAACAACCCGAGTTTTGCCCAAATCAGCTGGTCAAAGTCCACATTGGTACACAGGGACTAGTCAGGTCTCCTTGACTGTTGCTGATTGTTAGGCAGGGCAGTGGTCAAAACTGCCGATGAGAGGTATAAGCTGGCAGATTTGGAATGGGAATACCGGGCCTACTTCTTAATGACTATCGCGAATTCAAACACATCCGCGCATTACTCGACACCGTTGTCGACAAACGGCATCCTAGGATCCTACTCAAGTAGCAATATCGGACGGCTTCAACGATGAAAGGATACAACCATATATACCCTGTTGAGCACTAGAAATATAGAGAGGCAAGGGCTGCTTTCATTACTCGGATGTGTGGTCTCTACGTGTGAGTGTTAGTCACCGGGCTCCCAATGTTTCCAACCGTACTTACAGCTCACTCAAAAGTCAATGGATTTCTCCCCAACTTCCATCTTTGGCATACATGATGACCCTCTAGGATTAGGTGAACATTGGCCGTCGTGTTATCTTGATCCGGGACTGCCGTAGATGAACCAGGCAGGGTGGCCTCTTGAAATTCAATCGAGTCCCAACTATCTCTTAGAACCTGCAATAGCGTGGGATGGCAGTTGCTGGCTAAGCAAACCTCAGCGCGAGAGTCAAGTTGCAGCATCTAATAAGTCATAAAGAGCAAGATATGTGATTTTTTCTATGCAGTCCATTGTTGAAAAATGGCTCCACGATCAGATCCCTCTGTAGTATTACTGCTTATATCGCGAACAATGTAGTATGTCTTGTCATGAACTGGAGGGCTTGGTCCCTGCGATAGGAGAATATTGGGCGGACCATCATGTGTAGTTAAATAGCTTTAATAAAGTGCCAGTTGACTTCTGTGCAGAGGAGTTGGTAACAACAGCTCTCCTCGGGATTGGTTAAGCTTGCTCTCTAGCAGGAACCTTGTTCCCATCTCCTTTTTCTGTTTTCAGACACTGTTCAACTCCATAGCAAAAAGTATGCATTCCTTTGAGGGCTCCATGGCCATGAAACCCTATAGCTAACTATGCCTACTAACATGGTTACATAGACGCATCTCACACACAAAGAGACATTGCCAATTTCCCCTCGGCATTAGGGCAACTCTTGCCGTGCCTCAATTCAACCACAGGTCAAGGCGTAGCAGAAGCTGAAATACTTCTGGGAAAAACAGGCGGCTATGGGAATTATCGAGCGCCTAAGGGGGCTCTATTCGAAGAAGGGTATGTTGCACTATTCTATGGTGTCGCCCGGCTATCCGATTGCGAGGTTCAAAATGATTGACCTCGTCTGAGCTAGAAGAACCAGAGCCGGTGATTACAACAAATGTCGCTGTTGCGCTTTCTGTAAGTGATTGATTGACAGCGGCTACAGATCCCTTTCGCTTTCAAAGATAGGTTGCGCTGATTTGAACATTACAGGTCGCTTGCACTCTACTCTATGTAGTGCCTTTGTACATGTCACGAGCCAGCAGGCCGTCTCCCACCCTGAGTCGAGATGCGCCTTCTGTTATCAAGTATCGCGTCCGCGCCGTCATGGCGTCTTGTTTTGGCTGTAGCCTTGCGGCGCTATATCTAATCGTCGTCAAAGGGCACACGACGTATCTGGAGGCTCTCCGACTCCTAGGTTGGTGGCCGATTGGACCTCTTGAAATTATCAAGTCACTTTTCCTTACGGCCATTCTCTTTATGGGATTCCTCTTTGAGCGGGGAATAGCCGAAGGTGAATGGAGAAACTGGATTCGAGGACGCGGCTTCTTTGAATCGCTTAGCGGTTGGGTTGGCTGGCGGAATTTTGTCGCCGTACGTTCACCAACAACTTGCGAAATCGTACCTAATAGAGCACTCAAATGTCATTTATGATAGGGCCCTATAACCGAAGAAGTGGCTTTCCGCTCAATCATAATCGCGCTGCATTTGCTGGCAAAAATATCTCCGGCACGTATCGTGTTTGTTTCGCCTCTCTATTTCGGCATCGCGCACGTTCATCATTTCTATGAGTTCAAACTGACCCACGAACATGCTTCGCTGGCGCAAATGCTATTCCGGACAATTTTCCAGTTCATTTACACGACGATCTTCGGGTGGTATGCAGCCTTTGTATATCTCCGCACCGGGTCGCTCTTCGCAGTCATTCTTATTCATTCGTTTTGCAACTGCTGTGGATTACCGCGACTTTGGGGGCGGGTGGAGGTTGAAATACCGCTCCGGGCTTTTGATGTGAGACGGAAGGAAGATGAGGATCTGCCGTCGCAAAGAATCCATCAGAAGCAACTCGGTATTGAATGGACGATAGCGTACTATCTAATCCTGATAGTTGGCGCTGGTGCATTCTGGAGCCAGCTTTGGCCCTTGACCGAGTCGCCGTTGGCGTTGGCCTCGTTTGCTCGGTCGGGTTGAGGTCAATGGCTTTACTACTTGTATTTGGGCTATCTATCAAGACAGTATTCAATGAACACTGCTTTTTTAGCCGGATTATATTCGCTCTGCCGACTGTAAATAGGCAATCTATAACTAACGCCGATATCTCCGATCGGAGTCACAACCGTAAAACCCATTTATCGGATTGAAAGCAGACATTAAGATGAACATTGAGGGCTGCCCAGTACAATTTCTCAGCTATATTATCTTGATTTGCATTCTTTATGTTGTCAACAGCAATAGCTGACCTCGAGGTTTGGCATGTTGTATAATTCAATTGCTCCGCGTCCTAATTCCCGCAGTCCAAAGCCACCGCATACTTCTCGCACGCCCTGACTCCGGCAATGATCCCCCACAGCTTTTTCAAAGCGCGTTTACCCGCCTCTCGAATCTCTTTCGTCCAATGCGCCACCTATACCACCTCCCGACGGATCCAAATCCCGCCGCCATTCCCCATCACTCCAACCTGTCCGGCGCCCACGTGCCCTTGCGCGGAAATGCCGCGAGGACTCGAGATCGATCATGAGCAGGACCTCAATGGGACAATGGCGGCATATGCGCAGCAGGTTTTGATTGCGACGGGGCAGTCAGACTGGAGGAGCCGGATCGAGGAGGATGGACAGGACCAGGGTTGGGGAATGTTGGGCAGTGGACTGAAGAAGCTGGTTACTCGAGGCGGGAAATATGCTGATGTGAGTAGGCAAATGGTGCCAAATGGTGTAGCACAGCAGTAGAGGGAGCGTGAACTCGCTGACGTCTTCGTGCTGGAAAGCATAGCCATATAACAGCATCATGATTACGAATTCGTCGTTCAAGCCGCGGGCGGATCCAGGCGGCGAGACGAAGACTGCGTCGGCATTTTTGTTTCCCAGCTTTAAATATCTACCCAACATACCGCTTGACGAGGAGGGCTTGGAAAGATTTACAAAGGCGTTTCTATTGCCGCACAAAGTGCACAAGGCACACGATGTCCTCCCGGCAAGCAAACGAGAGGAGATGAAACGACAGTCTGCGCTTCAATCGAGTTTCCCAGGGCTGATCGAATTGCGCCATTCTCCTACAGTCCTCATCTGCGGCCATGGGCATAGAGATCAGCGATGCGGAATAATGGGACCGCTCCTCCAAGCCGAATTTCGTCGTGCACTGAAGAACATTGGCTTCACAACGGATGGCGACAAAGTTGACGGCCCGGGTCATGCAAACGTCGGGCTGATAAGCCATATTGGCGGTCATAAATATGCTGGAAATGTGATTATCTACCTTCCACCGTCCATGGAATCGAACGCGCTGTCAGGAAAGGGGATTTGGTATGGCCGTGTTGAACCAAAGCATGTGGAGGGAATCGTCAAGGAGACGATTCTGGATGGTCGAGTCATCAGGGACCATTTCCGGGGCGGTATTGAGGAGAGTGGAGTCTTGAGATTATAGATTTATATGTAGAATGTATGCTGATTTTAAATAGAGCGGTATCTAGTGTTGGTATTGCATTGAAATAGTCACTAACTTGATGACCTTCCTCACTAATAGTTCAAAGAACTCATTAGTTCAATAACAGAGCTTCTGTGGAGGAAAGCGGCCTGGTCTTCCAGCACCTCGCGGCTCTGTTTTCAAGGTTAGCTGAAGCTGAAATATAGAACCTGTATCCACGTTCATCAGGAAAGCTATATCATCACATTCATATCTTTTCTTTCTGGGCTCCTGACCGGAGCCCTTTTATTTCAAAGCAGTTGTCTATGATCCACATTAGTTAATTAAGATAATGCCTTTATAAGCATATGACCCCCCTCTATCGTAGAGAAACCTGCGCCAAAACCCAGTCAGCCTAATGAAATTATTATACATTAAGTGGCCGTCATCGGGCTCTAAATGCCCGAAGAACCAGCTCATAAGACCCTAGAGTAATCGCGGCAGACGGAACGGTACGTATGAGATGGGCAGTCAGCCCTCCATACATGGTTGCTGCTCCTCCCTCTCTCCACATCATACGCAGGCATTGTATCACGCCAGTGTACTTCTGCCGCCCATCTGGCAATGGGGCCTGGCGCAGCCTTGTCCTTATAACCTGCATTTTTACTCTGTGTTAGTTGAGGGACATCCTAAAAAAGCTGCAACTTCTGCTATGAACCGAAAATCATCGTTTACCTCGTGTGGGTATGCAATTAATACCGCCACCAGTTTTGATATGCCTGCAGCGCCGCTGAGTAGAACACCTTGGACGACTTCATTGTCCGCAAAGCGGTCTGGCACGCCTCCTCGACTGGTAAGGCTATCCTTTATTCGCTCATACGCGGTCAGGTGCAGGGTAGTCTCTATGACACCGAGGTAACTTGCGCCCAATCCCCTGTATAGTCCCCTAAGGCCTTCATTACGTAGAATTTGCCTTATACAATCAAGGCTGTTCCTGTATTGCGCCGTGCCTGAAGAGCGTGATCTATCGAGCTGCAGACGAGTCTTGACCACCCATATCGGGTTTGTCGCTGTCCCTGTCACGATACCCGCGCTAGCAGCGGAAAGCACATGAACAAGCGTTGCATCTTTATCGCATTGTAAAATACCAGGCAAAAGCTGCTTGCAGTTGCCGTATGTGTAGAATTTGATCGCGGTAGCCGGTACAACGCCTGTCAGGCTAGGGCCTAGGCCCTTGAACAGGCTACGCCAGCCTTCGAGGCGATGGATAGATCTGAGAATATCGAACGTCTCGCGAAAGTGCAGGACGGCAGAGCGGGATAGGAGCAGAAGGGACTGCGATTGAGTACCTATGGCAGGCGACCGGAGCGTCTTCGAAGGTGAACTGTAGAGATCGGATTGCAACCGAGTTCTTAGGACATCAAGTGGAGACGTTACGAGAGCCGTGGCCATCCCGCCGCTCCTATTGAAAGTTTCACCGTCAGGTAAGATCAAATTAAGTGGTTAAGGTCGGCGGACTCACGCGCCAGCAACCAAATGAGTCCATGAAGCCGTAGCATCCAAGGAGGCTTGTCCCAATCGACCATCAGATCCAGCCGAGTAAGGAGGCGTAGTGGGCGAGTTACTTTGATCTAGAATGTTCATTTTGATGTCCAAGTATAACTCCACTATTCCGTAAAGTTCAAAAGTTTTGGCCGGCCCCAACAAAATTTACGCGTTCCTACAGAGTAACCACGCGTCTTCCATTCTCAACTCGTCGTCTTCAAAAATCAGATAAAATGTCTTCTCTAACCGCTCTTGCTCAACTTCTGGAAACAGAATACAGAAGAATGAATTATCTCCATATTTAAGATCAAAAATCATTGGAAAACATGGTGCGGACCAGAATTCACTCAAAGCGCGTCCATCCTCAACCTCCCTCGAGAGACCGTCCAGTACACTGCCCAATCTAAGCCCAAACACCACAACAGCAAGTCCTTCTACCATTTGGGAATCGCAGGATTTGAACCCGCAACCTCTCGTTCTCAGGTGGTTGGCCCCCCAACAACAGACCTTACTCAGAGAGGATTCCTGCAAGTGCTCTTACCACTATGCCGCACACCCTTTGTCCAAGTATCAATGTAAGTCCGACTTCTTGAATATCTTTGGCTGTGATTAGGATTAGTTATGGCCAGAGGGGCTCGGACCCCATCTTGTTTAGCAAATAACAACAACCATGATCTTCACTTGCTCCAACAAGTATCGTCTTCTGAACTATTCCACTGAAAAGTCCTGCAACACCACAATCCTTTAAAAAGGTGATATACTTTGTTATTCTATCTTCTCGTCTCGCCGAGCGGCCTAAAGCCCTGTCAAACAATAGAGGCCGGGATAGCACCTCATCTCTTGCCTCGACCTCAACTTCGGCCATGGCAGAGCAACAGCCTCTTTACAAAATCGGTCCCTTTCGATCAAGCAGCGATAACACGGACACTCAGATGAATGTGTCTGTTTCTGACAAACGTTTCAAGATCGACCTCTTTACTGCGAACTTTGAAAGCTCTCCTGTCTTACTTGCAGAATATCTTCGACATGTCCAACGTCTAGATCCAGGATATATCCCTGACGACGCAGAGGAAGATGAAGAGTTTGAGGATCCTCTTGATCAAATGCATGATTGGGTCTTGCAACCATTTCTGCCAATTTTTCGCAAACTTGCACCTCTGGATCAGAGTCGAAAATACACCCTCGCGGACTGCCTGTTTGCGGAAGAATTCCACTACACTGTTCAAGTGGTGGAAGAGAGTTTAGTCCCTGTTTACGTGGGCAGCTCCCAAGCCAAGGAGCATCACCTTATCGGAGCTCATTTGCCGTCTTCTATCCGCATGGACTATTCGATGTTTCCCTTCTACCATCCTAGCGCAATTCAGATTCCGATCGATTCGACGTCATTGCCAGCGATACCCCATAAAGTGTTTATCCATGGAAGACCAAATCCTAGCTTCTTCAAGATAGTCTATAGAGGTGATGTGGGAATCACCCTGAAGGAGCTTGTCGCATACTCAAAGATTCATACAGCTGCATTTGATGCTATGGTTCGCACATCACGACTTGAAGGCTTGGCTGTGGATGATGATGGACGTGTTCTGGGATTGCTTTTATCATATATTGATTCTCGAGGTACACTATGGTGCGTTGATGGACGTGATCCCAGCTTTTCTGAACTTCGGAAGAAATGGCTTGACCAAGTCACTGTCACACTGAAGCACCTTCATTCTCGAGGTATTATCTGGGGAGATGCAAAAGCTGCCAATGTTCTAACTGATGTCAATAACGATGCATATTTGATTGATTTTGGAGGAGGTTATACTCGAGGCTGGGTTGACAAGGAAAATGCCAACTCGATCGTTGGAGATCTTCAAGGACTTGAAAGGATCAAGCGGCATCTTTTTAAATAAGTTCTTCTCCTTTTCCAGATTCATGTGTTTACTGTTGCTTTGTTAAGAGGTTTCCGTTTCAGCGATTTTTGTAAATGAAAAGGTCTTCCACTTCTGCAAGAAGGGTTAATTGAAGCGAAGAGCGATGGGCGGCCTGGTAACCCCCCAGCAAAACCAGGTCATACACAATAGGATTAATATACTCGCAATGTCCAACCCTGTATATACCTGGGTCCTGCACCCTTAAAGAGAATGTGTGGTACGGAGTACAGGCGGGTTGCTGACAAAGACGAGGATTTACGCCAATCCCAAAAATAGTTATTAGTTAGCGTCCTCCGAGGTGAGTTCGAAAGTTCAACCTCAAAGAAAACACGGCATCGGCATCTTGTCTTCGGAGTGGTATCTCGCATCCTTTGGGGTCGGGAGCGAAAGATGAGGACAAGCCAGAATGCGACTTCAACTAATCCTTGGACGCGGAGTCCAATTTCATAGGCCAATCGCTGTTCGACCACTCTCCGCCTTCCGCTCTCCCCAGATCATCATTCGAGCTGCTTCCACGGCGCCTGCTCGAAAGCTTGACCTTCTCGCGATAGACAGAAAGTGGAAAACAAAATGGCAGACGCGTGCAGGCCCCAAATTCTCGGATGCACCCCCCACAGCCCGGGAAAAGGCCTATGTGCTCCCCATGTTCCCGTATCCATCGGGTACGTTACATATGGGCCACGTCCGTGTGTATACCATTTCCGATGTTTTGGCGCGATTCAAGCGGATGAAGGGATATGATGTACTACACCCAATGGGCTGGGATGCGTTTGGTCTGCCTGCTGAGAATGCGGCAATAGAAAGAGGCATAAATCCGGCGGACTGGACGGAGGAGAATATTGCAAAAATGAAGGAGCAATTGAAGGCCTTGGGCACCGAATTCGATTGGGATAGGGTATGAAGTTCTATGTTTCTGGATAATTATACGTAAAGACTGAGTGGGGCGTGAAAGGAATGCTGATGGAACGTTATTCTGCGCTTTGTTGCGCAAGGAGTCGTTGGTAGGAATTAATGACGTGTGCCCCTGAATTTTACAAACATACTCAGCGACTTTTCTTGATGCTGCACGAAAAGGGTCTTGCCTATCAAGCAAAAGCGATGGTCAATTACGACCCCGTCGACAAGACTGTGTTGGCGAACGAACAGGTACTATATGAACCAGCCCACATATTCGAGAGATGCCCTTTTTTCTGACTGCACTGGGGATAGGTCGATGCAAACGGATGTTCGTGGCGGTCCGGAGCCAAAGTCGAGAAACGCGAATTGAAGCAATGGTTCTTCCGCATAACCGCGTTTAAAGAAGCGTTACTCAAAGATCTTGACTCGTTGGCAGATGGATGGCCAGAGCGGATTCTTTCCATGCAACGTCATTGGCTTGGAAAATCAGTCGGTGCTCGCCTGACATTTAAGATAATCACTCCGGACGAGAACCTCCATGTCCAAGTGTTCACAACTCGCGCTGATACCCTACCTGGAGTCCACTACATTGCTTTATCTATAGACCATCCATTGGTAACAAAACTAGCAAAAGCGGACGCGGAACTCAAGGCATTCGTGGGCTCTGCGAGTTCATTTCCTCCTGATTCAAAAGATGGGTACCGTTTATCCACTGTGGAGGCGGTGAATCCACTGTGTGCGATTGAATCTCATCCCGGAATTCCAGCACATCTCCCTGTATTCGTCGCTCCATATGTCCTAGGGGATTATGGAGAGGGAGCTGTCATGGGTGTCCCTGGACATGATTCTCGAGACTTCGCTTTTTGGGCTAAGAATATGCCATCTGCTCCCATTGTTTCAGTGATTGAACCGGAGCGCAAAAGCGGTGCTCTGGAAGAACAAAGTCATTTGAATTCAGAACCATTCGTGGGGGAAGGATATCTCAACAGCTTGTGTGGCAAATTTGCTGGATTATCATCGAAGGAAGCGAGAGAAGCTATCGTCTCGAGTTTGCGGGATCGCAATGGTTCCGCAGATTTTACTGAAAGTTGGAGACTGCGAGACTGGCTCATCAGCCGCCAACGCTACTGGGGCGCGCCCATTCCTATTATTCACTGCGATGATTGTGGTGCTGTCCCCGTTCCTGTGGATCAACTCCCTGTTGAGCTGCCCGTCATTGACCGGGGGATGAAAAATAAAGCCGGCAATCCTCTCGAATCAGCTGAGAATTGGTTGAATACGGTTTGTCCAAGTTGCCAAAAGCCAGCCAAGAGGGACACTGACACGATGGACACTTTTGTCGATTCATCATGGTACTTCCTACGGTTCTTGGATCCATCTAATAAAACGATACCGTTTTCTCCCTCGCTAGCACGGCCAGTCGATATCTATATTGGCGGTATCGAACACGCTATCTTGCATCTTCTCTATTCTAGATTCATATACAAATTCCTCGCTACTTCCGGAATGGTGCCAGATTCCCTTCAGGGTAAATCTGACGGCGCAGAGCCATTTCTTACACTCCTCTCACAGGGCATGGTGCACGGTAAAACGTTTAGTGACCCAGCCACTGGCCGGTTTCTTCGTCCGTCGGAAGTCGACTTGTCTGATGCCGGTTCACCAGTCCTCACGGGAACTAAAATCGCACCAAATGTCTCCTTTGAAAAAATGTCGAAAAGTAAATATAACGGCGTTGATCCAAGCCTGTGCATTGAGAAATACGGAGCTGATGCAACGAGAGCGCATATCCTCTTCGCTGCGCCCGTCAGCGAGGTCCTTGAATGGGACGAGGCCAAAATCGTGGGCGTTCAGCGATGGTTCAGTCGGCTATGGAAGGTCACTTGTGACTTACAAACTTTTCTCGCATCCGAACCCGGTTTGAACCTAGCAGATGCGAACGGCCTCGCTCTACCACCATTAGATCGGTTATCAGACAAAGAAGCCGAACTCCTCCTTCTCGCCCACTCCACCATATCCTCAGTCACCACGTGCCTGGAAAAGAATCCATATGCCCTAAACACAGCGATATCCGATCTAACAAAGCTTACAAACGCAATCTCCACATCCCCACTCTGCCCGACCGCGTCATCCTCAGCCTCAAGGACCGTCTCCTATATCATCGTCTCCTCGCTCCTACGCCTTTTGGCGCCCATCGCACCGGCATTCTCCTCCGAATGCTGGGAAGTACTACACGCCTCCGTTTGGACCAACCATGAAGCCGAATTCTCACCATCCGTACTCTCCTCCCCTTGGCCCAAACCGCTCCTCTCAGATGCACAGGTCGACGCACTTCAAAAGCGTGGCGCGCAGACGATAGCCGTACAAGTCAACGGCAAAACCCGATTCACGGCTACGATCTCCCGCTTCTCGCCTGGATCTGCGGAGTTGTCACCACTATCGCAACGGGAAGGGGAGGGAAGACGGAAAGATGCCATGAGTGAAGAAGAACAGTCGTGGATCTTATCTCGGATCTTGGAGACGGATAAAGGGAAGCTCTGGCTGACGGAAAGGAATGAGTGGGAGAAAAGAAAGCGAGTAGTGGTAGTCGGTGGTGGGAAAGTCGTGAATGTTGTTTTTTAGGATGATGTGAAGACCGTCGAGAAAAGATTTGTGTTGCAAATCATTCTAATGGTCTCTGTGTGTATGTATATTACTTGTATAATAGGATCTCTCAAACAGATATCAACTTTAACATGCAGATTGCATGCATAACTAGTAATGTCCCGTGGTATCTTGTTTTCATAAAATATCCATTAAGGAATCTAACAACTCCCAGGACGTCATTCAAAACCCTAGTATACAGTAACCTAAAAGCTGTGGGTTGGCCTCAAATCAATACACGACAGATGTATCGTACACGGAGGAGGTAGAATATAAGAAATCAAAACAATGGTGTAGACCGTGATAACTATGCATCCAAAACAAAAGTTCAAAAAAAGCAGCGATCGAACCTGACAAGCGAAAAAGCCAAAGAGCACTGCTTCACGAGAAAGAGTATATGCCCGTTTCCAAATCAGCCCAGGGGGAATATAATAATTTTAGGAAATAAATGCGGTTAACGATGGAATCGAGGTGTTTAGCGAAAGGTAGTGACCTCGGGTCTATATCCACGGAACCTGTGAATATGTTTTCTCTGGCAAGAGTGAAAACCTCTCGGGGAGGGGCCACGCAGATTCCATTCTTCCCCTCCTCGGCACCGCCTGCGATGGTTTAGGGTTGGAGGGGAGGGTTCGGGAGTCGCTTGAGCTAGATGTGTAGAATGTGTGGAGGCCTATTAGCTGAGACGTACGATCCGGCATCGAGGGTACAACTGGTGCTGGTGGCTCAGGAGTAGTATTGAAAGGGTTGTCAGTGTTAGATGGAGGTTGGACCTCGTCAGAATTCCGGTCATTTGGAGACGGAGGGTTGATCTGTAGCGGGTGTATAATCAAGGAGGAGTCTACTGATTTTCTCCGTCTATTAGGGGATGTAGCCTTGGGAGGGGAATATCGGGCTGAGGTTAATCTTTCCGGCTGCTCAACCACGGCTCTAGAAGAGCTCCGTGCTTGTTGCGTAGATAAAGGCATTGGTATGCTGCTTAGACAAAGGCCAATTTGGACGGTGGCTGCGCTTATATCCGAAGAATGTCGCCGGTGATTGAAATAAGGTTGTGGTGGAAGGAGTATAAAGTCATCGATATCCGTCATAGATAGGACAGAAGTTTGAGACGAGCTTTCTGATCTCGACGTGAGAGAGAGGAAGCTATCCCTATGAGCCACATTCCCAGTAAGGCGCTCCATGGAACTCCGTCCGTCGGGGAAAACTTCTAAAATCGAAGCTTGCTTTTCCCTTCGAGAGCGTCGACCTGGTTCCACGTTTTGCGTAAAGCCGTAACTCGAGTAATCCGCCCTCTTCACAACACTATTGTTTCGCTCGAGATCAACTGGCATTATCATTTGTTGGGCAACGGCCAAGCCAGTAGAATCAGTATAACTCCGAGGGGGTTTCATGAACCACACAGGGTCCGCAGATCTCGTGATGAGATTTTGCCCAGTTGCTCGCAAGAGTAGGAATAGAATGCCGTTTACGATACCGAACAAATTTATGACAATCGACATGATCATTGCTGTCACGTGTGTCGAACCTTTCGTCGTCGCTTCTACCCAGAATGGTAAAGTGAATACCTACCAATCCGTCAGCCATACTGCTTTAAAGCAAAATAAAGATGGAAATGAAAAAGAGAAATCAGCACTCACAAATATTGCTGCGTTAACAAACAAATAATAGATTTGATTCCTTGTTGCAATTCTTTGCTCAGAGCACAGTTTGTTGGATCGACGGATTCGGAATAAGAGCGTGGCTGCGTTGAGGATATAGAATAGGATCAATGCGGAGGCTATTCCCGTCCCAATATCTGACCAAGGTTCAACCCATTGCGTCAAATCAGCAGTACATATATCCATCGTCACAGGCCGAATATACGATGGTATCCAGGTCAAAGTTAAGAACACAATCACGATGATCCAGTTGGCCGAAGCATAGCCTCTGCAGGGTGAATGCGCGCACGCAGGGTTCAGGCTCCTGATTGCAGCCTCAGAACTAAAAATTAAAATAGTATATCCAACAACCCAAATAGCTAATCATCAAGATTAGCTTGGGCACCAATATTCCGGAATCACGAAATGGGGTATTTACCGGTCCAGGTAATCTGAGATAAAACACGGCAATTGTTTGTAAGCACGTCCTGAAGCCCCATGGTTTGAACGGATATGAACAGAGAGCCCTGGACCATCGTAGCAAGTGCCAGCGCATTTGAAAATATGTGAGCCGGTGGTAATTTTAAAAGGAATTCGAATCTCCTAGTATGAGTGAGTATGTATGAGTATCAACGGAGAAGTCGAGACAGACCTTCGGGGAACTCGAAGGCTTGCTACTCGCCAGCTGTCGTATAGAATGGTTGCCACCACGGCGATAGATGCAAAGACATTGAAAGCCGCTGTCACAACAATAGAAATCCGATTTTGAATGCTGAACTTGAGGAAAAGGGTGTCGGCCAAAGTTGCATCCCCGACGAACTCGACCGTATTTCTCTGCAATGCGGTGAATACTGGGTCGGCCATGGTGTTGCCTAAGGCCATGCAGGACTTTCCGATGAATACTTCACAGCATAACACTATCAAGGGAGATGATGCTGGCCGAATTTCTGAGAGCGATGAGGGTGAAGAGGCTCGGGCATGGTGGACAAATGGAGGAGTGCCGTCAGTGAGCTCGTTCAGTCACAGCGATCGCATCGTGAAGGGCGAGTATGTGTGAAAACGGACGTCGCCCTCTCGTGGCTGGTTGACGAAGGGAAGGGCTTCAGGAAAGATGGACGCACGTGCAAAGAGGGGAAAGGTTTCCAGAAGATGAAAGCAGAACACGAGAACTGGTGTATTTACTTCCATTGGTTTGACAGTGTTCAGGCACTCAGGGTTTCAGTGGCAAAGCTGGAGCATTGATAGAGATTTAGGTCTCGATCAGGCTCAATGGTGGCTCGACGGTTCATGGAAGACGAAAAAAGCGCTCTAAAGGGTATGAGACAACGCCACTTCACAGCAAATTTGTGATGCAGGCTATTTTCCAAGAAATGTAGTCCGGAGAATCGATGGCGACTAGGGTAGCTCCGAGCAGGCACGCCACACCTAGGTACAGAACGCAAAAGGGAGGAAGCAGGAATGGAGCAGTCTCCTTTCTTGATGTCTTGAGGGTGGAACAGGTCTGTCATCGAATAGGTAACACGATCATGCAGTATGAAACCAGGAAGAGGGGAGTCTTGATTGTAGTCAAGATTCTAATCCAAAATAGGAAATCTGGCCTTGTATCTTGTAACAATCTGACACGCGGAATCGGTAAGATCCAGAAGAGATCCATCATTTAACTGGCTGACAGTTTAATCTCTCCAGCCAGATTCGGATTGCATTGCCTTTAAAAGCTCTTTTTGAACGTACTTCTTGGTATATTGATCCTCTAGTTGGTCTCAAATATAGGTTTTTCAAGATTGCACTTCCACCAGCGACTCACTCAATGACCCTTCCTTTCATATCGGGAGCCTCTGAATGCTCAAAGTCAAATAGACAGTGTTACGTACGGTGGGGTAGACAACGTACACTTTTCTCATGAGGACACAGCTGCATCGTACAGCTCCAGGGTTGAGAAAGACGGATGACTTCCGGAAACCTGGACAGACCGTGTGGTTCAGACTCCCGGGAGCCCGTTGAACGAACCACAGATGACGGCTTGTTGCTACTCCCTATGGCTGTTGCCGCCATTTTCAGCGTGGCAACGGAAGTCCCGTAGTAATCAGGGTGGCCATTAGCGACTGTTAAATGAAACCGCCTTGGCGCTTACCCTGACCAAGACGATACAAGATGACTTCCGGCTCATCCGGGGAGGGCGAGTTTTCAAAGCTTTATCTGTCAGTGACGTGCAAGACATTGGTATCGTCACAACAGTTCAAGATTCATCAATGAATAGCAAACCGAGGAAACCAGAACTCCAGTCAACACCATTCTCAGCAGTGTGCGTGGAGAGATCCGCGAAAGCATGGGGGAGTTTGCCAATATTGTGAACGGAGCCCTCCAAATGCTCCTGAGTTCCATGACTCCATGTCTCACCTCGTGGTGGTATCTTGGTTCGTGAAGCTGAGGCGTTGGCAGTTTCAGAGGAGGTTGAGGAATGACTAATCCAGCAACCTGTGCTGCGCTAACCACTTTAGATTTAGTGCGTCACATGCCCAGAATCCCGGCCCGATTTAGTTCCGTGGCTTGGCGAGAACCCCTTTTATCACACTGGCGTAATCCAAACATGATCATGATGCTCAACTTCAGTGGACTAACCAGCCTAATTCCATGGTGGCTTCTCCTGGAGGCCCCAGGAGATTGGGAATCTGATCTCACGGAGTTTCTAACTCGCTATAAACCTTGTTTTCATCTTTCCCTTGATGCTTTACGGTTGGCCGAATGGGACCTGATATTCAACGGCATGTTGCTCGAGTCTCAGAGACTACCACCGCACACGGACAAGTCTTTGGATAGTGGTCTGCTCTGGGTGTCTGACAGCACGGTTTAACTCCATGTTGATGAGATATACTAGACGTTCGTCAACAAAATTCACTACGGGGAATTCATGTCTCTTGGGGACCAACTACATACCTTGACCAGGAAGAGCGCAGTAAGCTGGACACTCTTTATACTATCGAGACGAAACAGGCCGAGGATGGCAAAGTTGATGACAATAATTCACTTGATATCATGGAGCTACAGCAGCTTATTCTACTTCCAGATCAGGGATTTACCGACAGCTTCTGGAGTTTTAAACAGATCTTTCCTACTATACCTCCATACTACCCTGGAATATGTGTGGCATGGGGTAGTTAGCCTAAACTCGACTTGCTAAACTCTCAGAAATAAGTTGTTTGCCTTCCGATGCATGGCTTGCATCTATATAATACAGCTTCCCTGTCATTGGGTTCGAAAATATTCGGCAAGTTCCTTTGTAGTCCTTCTTATGATCCATGACCTGATGCTCATCTGGTCATGATCAATTACACGACCCTGCCGGATACATGTTGATCCCTTCCCAGGTGCTAAAAATCATTGACGGTACACACAATGAGCAAAATCATCCATCATGGTTGCTCATGTTATTCATGTTATTCATCAACTAGTTATCTGCATTTCATTAATAAGATACATCAGTTTCGCAATTGAATGCAATTTGCATTATGGGAAAGAATCATAATTCCAAAGTCTGTCTTTCTTAACTCCGCTGCTCATCTTTGATTTGGTTCCTCTGTCCGTACGCCTTTGTCACATAATCACCCTTGTGAACGATCAAATCTTCGACTTTATAGTCAAACTTGCCAGAGTAGTACGATTCAAGGATAGCCTTGGTGCCATCTGCATAACGAATTTGAGCATCAATAGAAGTTCCAGACATGTGAGGAACCATTGCATTGCCGCCACCCCATGGGCCTTGAGCATATCGAAGCGGGTGATCCTTGGGGGCGGGTTGTGGGAACCACACATCACCACCATACCCACGAAGATGGCCGGATTTGATGGCTTCTGCGACATCCTCTTTAACGACAATTGCACCACGGGCGGTGTTGACAAGCCATGAGCCTATTTACGAACCAATTTAGCATTGCAAACCACTATTACTTTTCAAGGCAAATGGGAATGGAAATACTGGCTTACCCTTCTTCATTTTTGAGATAAGTTCTTTGTTGAACAATCCACGTGTTTTCTCATGCAGCGGGCAGTTGATAGTGACAACATCACACTGTGCCAACATCTCTTCCAGATTCTCGACACGGCGACATCCAATCTCCTTTTCAGCCTCGGGGCTCAGAGGTTGATAATCATAGTAAAGAAGCTCCTTGCAGTCGAAGGGCTTAAGGCGGCGAAGCACACGCTCACCAATGCGGCCGACAGCAACTGTTCCAACGACTTTGCCCTCCAGGTCAAATTCGTTCTTAGCAACCGCAGCAACGTCCCATTCGCCTTTAGCAATTTGGTCGTGAGATGGGACGAAGTTACGGACGAGAACTAAGATGGTCATGATCACATGTTCTGCAACGGACACAACGTTGCAACCAGTGACTTCGGCAACGGTAATACCGCCATTGGTCTTGTTCGCAGCGTTAAGGTCAACGTGGTCGGAACCAACACCGGCAGTAATAGCGAGTTTGAGATTCTTAGCCTTAGCCAATCGTTCTGCGGTAAGATAGCCTGGATGGAATCTATGACAAGGAATAGGTTCAGAAATCAAGAATCGATAGGAATATAAGCGAGGGAGTCAACTTACGGAGTGGTGATGATGACTTCAGCATCAACAAGTTCACGGTCGAAAGTGGAGTTTGCTCCCTCCTTGTCAGATGTAGTCACCAACGTGTGGCCCTTCTCTTCAAGCCATTTTCTCAATCCAAGTTCGTTTTCTGTTGTTCCCAATAGCCCGGGTTGCTGCTTTGCGTGCTCCCCACCCTACAGTCCATGTCAGACTTCAGCTGCTCAAGAAACAACTGCAATTGGCACAAGGGGAGAAGGTCGAAAGAGCCAAGAGGGACTTACATCATACATAACCATAAGAACTTTACCCTGTAGTTTGGAAGTAGCAGTCAGTGTGCGAACGGAATTGAAAGGCAAGCGTGAGGACACCCATGAGGATGTGACAGAAGGGCAGCTCCCCAAGGTTCCTCGACCTGCGAGGAGAGAAGAAGCAGGGCGGGAGAGGCTTCGAGAAAGAGACCGGAGAAATACCATTGTGAAGTGAGTGTGTGCAACACCGATAACAGATGAATTTGAGTAGCAGTGACGAGGTTCAGGGTAGCTTAGAGCCTTTTATATCCGTAAGCTGCAAGACAGTAAGTTAATTGAAGTCTGGCTAAGGCAAAGCTAAACCAGGCATGATGTTTCCTCGAGCAGGGCGGGGGGACAGGAGGGTAGCTTCCAAACCCAATGGGGGGAGCGGGCTTCTCCAACTCATTGAGTAACGTACCTCATGCAATGCACGAACGGCAATGGCTTCGACAGTTAGACCAAACTTTGATATGGATGTGACCCAAATGAGAATGATGATGGAGAAAGAGAGAAGAAAGGAAAAGGACGATGAACGGCTTGCCCTGAGCTATATATAAGCCAAACCCCCAAGGTTGGTCCCACCTGGCTCTGTTGCCGATGGAGAACTAACTTGAATGGTTATCCACGCGTTTCCCAATGCTAATCTGCTCATTAGCCAGCGCTCTAGACTTGGTCCTCGCTGCAAAGGGCCATTGCGCACACTACCCCGCCATTGAAGCCGGCATCGAGTGGGCGATTGCACAGGGAGTACGGCATGCGCAGCATCTTCATTGGAGTGTGCGATTGACAGTGCCCATCCGGGCCAGAATGTTGCACCAATGAGGAGAATCAGAACGTCTCATTCCCGTCGCTCCGAAACATGGATAGTACCCAGGGCTCGATGGGAGAGACGTCCCATCACGCTGCGGGGTTGGACGGGGAGAGGCAACCTCTTGATATAGCCATCAATCGGCCCCAGGAAGCGGCAGTTAAGCTCTGAACAGACCCTGAGAGTGGTAATATTGATGTGGGATTCGCACTGGCAATTTCTACGAGCGCCTCGCTCTTGAACCGTTCTATATGACCGGTACAGTTGACTTGCCCACTGCTGCGGGCGTCCCAACGCCATGCTTGTACTGGATTTGCCTTCAAGCATGTAACCCTATCTCCCTTGGTTTCCAATAGATAGTCGTATAGTCATCCTGCTGCGGAATCAGCAATTAAAACCCGCATGGTGTACCATCTTCCTCACGCGGGTGATACACACATCCGTCTCCCCCGCATTCCGGAAGGTCGTGAGGGGTACTTTGTCGATGGCTGACATAATGGATGAGGGGAAGCTGGCCAGCTAAATTAAGCTTTGGGCTAATAAACTAGCGCCATTTGCTTCTTCCCCCCCACTTCGGTTGTCAAGCTCGTCATCTTGTACCCCAAGGATGCAAGGAGGAGGCCCCTTTTTTATTCAATAAAGGCAAAGCTGGAAATTACATTTGATGACAAGTTGTAGGGCATTTTGGAAATTATCCTAGAGTGCTTCGTCATGAATTATCAGTGAAGTTCCACTATCCAGTCAACGTATGCACGAATGAACTATACATATCTCCTCACCAATCCTCGCCCACGGTGAGGAGAACGCAATGTATCTAGGTACCCCGTATTGGGTACCCCAAATTCCCCATAGCAGAACAACTCAGCCTCCGCTTTCCATATTAGATGTGGTGGTTACTGAGAACAACCTGAATTGGTACATACATACATACTTGACGATCAGAGCATGAAAAGAAAATGTTGCGGCTGGCCATGGCTATCCCATTTGGCTAGCAACCTAAGGTTTGGCGGCGCAGATCCAGGAACCCGTAAAGAGGCATTTTACTGGCCCTTGATATTCCTGGGTTAAGAGATGGGAATAGGTTGCCATTGATCATATATGTGATACAACTGCGATAACCACTGGGGGAGCCAACCGGACCCTAATGACAATAGTCCCCTCGTTAGTGTATTTAACAACGACATATCAAGGAGTCACCATTGAATGCAGGCCGACAGATCTTGTCAATATCAGAACATGCAAGAGAACACGGCTATTGAAAGAAGAATAGGGTAATCTCAGCTGGTGTGAAAGGCTGGGAGGATGAGGTAGCTCCTCACCTTTGTTAATTCGGCAAAGTATATGAGTGCGCCTCGGCTGGGTTTCTCACTACACAGTCCATTACCATAGACTCTAGTGCGCCGTTAGTTGGATTAATGGACAGGGAGATCTTTGACTTGTACTTACTGATGACCCTGTAATGGAAAACATAATGACGCGATCTTTCGCTTGCATCATCAACCGGCAACGTCTGTTCCACTACCATGGCTGGCTGCGATATATCAAGCTCGACGGGACTGTACCTTATACGAGGATTTCACGAGTTAGATGCACTGAATTGAGGTATTATGGAAATACCACGCAGAAAAGCAAGAGGACAAACCTGATAGCGGCTCCAGGGGTTCCAGTTAACGGTATAGTTTTGTCCGGCTTTGTAACAGTTGCTGGTTTGGGCGCTAGCGGCAGATGAAAGACGCGAATAATAGTGACTGCGATTCTCCCGTGGGGATATTCTGATGCAGGCCCATAATGTCCTAGCGGGATACTTTGGAGTTCTGTTTGGGTTAGGAGAGCGCCATAGCAACCTTAAAAGATCGATAGAAAGAGCCTGCATACTAGTAGGAAGATTTGCGAAGCAAAATAGAACTGCCCTATATCCATCCGGCCACTCGATTACAGCATCCTTGATGTGCACCACGAACCAGTTGTCTTGGTCTTTCTCTAGCTCGGCAAATTTGATTGAATAGTGATGATTGACTGCGCGGCCTTCGTCCATCTTTATAGTGATATGCAACCCGTCTCCGGTCGAAACATTGAAATGAGGGCTCAGCCGTATAAATATGGAGAATATCTGGCCTGGAGGGGCGTTGACCGACTTCTCAACTCGCAATGGGTTTGGAGCCCACGGAACTACATCGCCGCGTCGTGAATGATCGACCCAAACATCGGACTCTCGAAGGAAGAGATCAACACTATGAATCTTCAACTGGACTTCAATACCATCAAGTATGGCCATACTCGGAGCCAAACGCAACAAGGTCAATGAAAGAGACTGGGGCGAAAAACGGAGAGCCAAATTCGTCGATCACTAGTCGTCTTCTCAAGGGAAAGGATTGAGCGTCAAATCTCATTAGGATAAAAATAGATAAAGGAAAAATGCATGAAACCTTGGGAGTTATTCAATTTTTTCAGGTGTCAAGATAGTTGCCTGTCAAATGAAGGTGTTGTGTTATGTACACAACTTTGTGTTCCTCAACTTCAATGCTTATTCCAGCAAAGTGAATGAGCACTGAGAGGATGTCATTTTATGAACAGGAAGTCACGTCGAGCTCTAATCAGGAATTCCAGCGTGGGGTGAATCCCATAGTTTGTAAACAAAAACGGGAAGGTATCAGGCACAATGACTTAGCTTGTATTCACAAGCTGACTTCAACGGCAGGCGAGTAGGAAGAAGGGAAAGGTGTAAAGAACAAAGCCGGACTAAAGCCCTTACCAGAATGCAGCTCTCACATGAGCGAAGTCCTCAGTGTTGGCGGGCGGCCGATATTCAAGGTGGCCAGGCAATGCTTCTGACTGTATAACCATTGGCGCTTCCATGGTCGCTAGCGTAGGTGTTGAGCTTCTCTACTACCGGCTTCATCATCGCTATCATCCATAAAGCCTTCTTCGAGTTCTCGACTCAGCCGGGCTTCTGTTCCCATAGGATCGTCTCTCCGTCTCTCAAGCGCAGCCCTACGTGCAGCGTCCATTTCAAATCCAACCATCCCCTCCCCTTCTTCGTCTAGTAAGCTCCCGGCGTCATCTTGCCCTTCGACAAAGTGTCCTCGCCTCCAAGCGGATGGCAGCACAAAATGCATCAGGGCATCGGATGCCCGTTCCCGAAGCGAGGATGTGCGGGCCGATATTGTGTGAAGCGGAAGATATTGGGCGTATCTTTGACGGTACCGTCGAATAAAGGGAATGACTGCATAAAAGAGCGCGAGGTAAAGAGCGAGGGAGATGAGAGCAGGAATGAGAAGGGTCTAGATTGCCGAGTTAGAGAATCAATTCGGTCCCTAGAGCAAGCTATCCACCACTGCCGCCATACCTTTGCGAGATTCAAAGAAGACCCCATAGTTTAGCAGGGCCACATCGACGGTTCGTGGTGTACCGTTAAGACAAATAGTCCTCCTTAGCTGAAGAATACTGGCCAAAGGGACGGTAAAAGAAATGTAGCTACGGTTATTAAACGAGCCAGAGCACCTCTAGCACCCTCATAACTAACGTATTAACACAGTCACCGGCCAACATCACCACTCAACCGGCATTGTTGTTTCAGCTGCGATGTCAAAGTACAAGGATGGCATATGGCCCGAGCTCACCTCCGTAGCTTAGGTAATCCAACAACTAGTTAGAAATGCACGTGGATCGGCCGCTTAACCCTTTCCAGCCAGCCCCCTTAGCTGCGTCGCCAACGAGGGTTCTAGATAGATTGAACGACGGTCCTGCATTGATACCAGGTGTTGTTTTTAGTCTTTCCTGGGCTCCAGAGCCTTTACTCGCTATAATACATGGGACCATAACGACCGTACCCAGGATAAACTTGGCAACTCGCGCGAGACGTGATTCACTGCGAGAAAAAGCGGCTCCTCTAACCCCGAGATAATCCTCTGCTTCTTCATGTGTCGTTGGCGCGAGGAAGCGGGATATTCCTTGGTTGGGAGCCAAAGATCAGTTCAGTGCTCACGATCGACCTTTTCTAAGAAAAGATTCGGACCCATAGTTCGCTAATTACATCCGTTACCGACCACCCCTGCCAAAGTTCCCTTCCTCCAACCACGCCGCTCCCGATGCTGCTTTGGTGCAACCAGCCAGTTTAGCTACATGCTCTCGAAATTCCGTCGAAATGCCTCGTCCTCCAACCCCTTCGGATAAACCGAAACAGTCGTCCAGCAAGTCATTTTTTGGGAGGAAGCTACATAAAGACCGCAGTGGGGACTCTCGAGCGGAAGGCACCTCGGACACATTAAGTATTGCAGGGAGCGCAGCTGGGTCACGCTCGTCAAGGCATTCAAAACGCGACTCTGTATATACGCTGGATCTGTTGAATGAGATGGATCCTTCGTCGTCTGGATTAATCACATCGATTCCGTACGATAGCGTCCCTCCAAATACAAAATCGCCAATCCCTGTTGACTACCTCCCAAAATCGGATTCATCAGCCCGTAAAGAGCTGGCAAAGAGTTCCTACGACTATCCTCAGCACTCTCCATTTGGCAATACTACGGTTCAAACAGTTTCTCCGCAGTTGGCGGCACCCAGACCACCTCCACACTCCAGCATGAGTTACTCTGACAAAATTAGTAAACAGTTTAACTATCCATATTCTACGCCAGACTCCTCTACGAACTCAAGGACATCCCTAGATCAGACGAGCGTATATTCCTCTGTATCGTCCGCCACCCGAGCGTCCACCCAAGATACTTCCGGGCGTCTTCTATCAGCCGGCTATCCCAATGAACGATATCCTCCTTCGTCAAGTGCCACCGGTTATCGAAATGCTGATCCTTACCAAAACAACTGGCCTACATATACCACGCCGTTACAGTTGGGCCCTGACGGCAACTTTCAGAAACCGAAAGATGATAGAATCGTCGATCAAATGTTTTATGAGCTTATGATAAAACGGGGCTGGCAAAACTTACCTGAGCAAGCAAAAAGACAGATGCTGGCGTATCCGACGTCGAAAAAATGGACTCTAGTGCATCAGGATCGACTCACACAATGGCAAGGGGAGCAGAAACGTCGGCAACATGCTAGGCAAACCTATGGCTCGTCAGATGGTCCCAGGGGACTACTTGATCGTGCAGATGAAGAGGGAAGCCCGGAATGGTACGTTAAAAAGGTCATGGATGACACAATTACAGCAAAAGAGCTCGGAAGTTTAAGCGTCAGCCTACGAACTCAGCCTATAAGGTATGCTCCATTTTTATTCTTCGGCCTTCTAGTCTAGGGCTAACTTTTGGATGAAGCTGGGTGAAATCGTTTGTTGAGGCGCAAGGGCAAATTGCTTTAACCAGTGTTCTTCTCAAGATTAATCGACGAAAAGCTTCAGGTCCCGCACCCCCCACCTCCCAATCTGTTGAAAAGGATCTGGATCGAGAATATGATATAGCAAAGTGTTTGAAGGCTCTAATGAATAACAAATATGGTGCCGATGATGCTTTGGCCCACCAACAAGTTATCGTCGCCCTTGCAAGCTCTCTGATATCTCCACGCTTGACTACAAGAAAAATGGTCAGCGAAATCCTGACATTTTTATGCCATTCGGCGGATGGTCAAGGCCATCTCAAGGTCTTGCAGGGGATGGATCATGTGAAGAACTTGCAAGGGGAAACTGGTCGGTTCGACGCCTGGATGCGAGTGGTCGAAGTAAGTATCGACGGACGAGGGAAGATGGGAAGTTTAGTGGGTGCCAGCGAGGAATTCAGGAGTGGCGGAATAGGGATGGAGAACTTGCTCATGGAATACGCTCTCTCAACGATGTTCTTGATAAATATGCTTATCGATGCACCTCAAGATGATTTACAGCTTCGATGCCATATCAGAGCTCAATTCACAGCATGTGGCATCAAACGTCTCTTGGGTAAGATGGAAGGGTTCCAGTATGAAGCCATCGACAAGCAGATAGAGCGATACCGAGAGAATGAGGTTATTGACTACGAGGATCTTCTACAACGGGATAATAGTAGCGCGAAGGATGGCGTCGAAGGAGAAATCGCGGACATGACTGATCCAGTCCAGATCACAAATGCAATTGTTTCCAGGTTACGCGGAAGTCGTTCACAGGATTTCTTCCTTTCTGCAATGCAGCATATGCTCCTTATCAGAGAAAATGCGGCGGAAGACGGGCAAAGAATGTTTCAACTTGTCGATGCGATGTTGAGCTACGTCGCAATGGACAGGAGGCTACCGGATATGGAATTGAAGCAAAGTCTTAATTTCACCGTTCAAAGCCTGTTGGATAAGCTGCATACCGATTCAGAGGCTAAGCGAGCCTTTGATGAATCTCTCGAGGCTCGCCAAATTGCAGAAGCTGCCATTGCAGAACGAGATGCGATGAAAGCGCAGATCGAACTGGGGGCCGATGGGCTAGTCCTCAAGTTGCAAAAGCAAATTGAAGAGCAAAATGGTGTTATGGATCTTCAGGCCCGTCAGAATGAGGCATTGAAAGCAGACCTAGCAGAGCTTCAACGGCTACGAGGCCAGGAGCTGCAACGTAACGAGCTCGAGACTCGAGAATTATACCTGATGCTTCGTGACGCCCAGGATGTTGCGGCGTCTAAAGCCCGTCCCGGGAAAGATGCAATAAGTGAGATGGACACCGCGCAAATGCAAGGGATACTCGATCGCGAAAAACTCATGGAACGATTAGAAAAACAGTTGGAGCGGACTAAGACCCAGTTCAAGCTAGAAGGTAAAGTGTGGCAGCAAAACGGACCATCAGACCGGTTGCGAGAATTGCGGGAGAAGATGGACAGCATGTATGCATCGGACAATGAAATCGACGAAGAAACCCGGCGCCAGTTTACAAACAGCACGTTCGGTACCGTTTCGCGGAAGAGAAGCCAACTCGGAAAGGATTCCAATGGAGACCTCCAAGTTGATAGTCAGCTATCAGACGTGGAAGAAGGGGAAGAAATGATCCAGGAGAAAGCACGGCTGGTTGAGATAAAGCGTCCGCGCATGAATCCCGAGCAAGCTACCGGCCTCCTGAACGAGCTCACTGCAAAGGCTCAGACAAAGGCGGAAGGGGCCGATGTTGAAGAAAAGGCGCCAGAGCCACCTCTTGCGAAGGAAGAAGGCTTCAACGGCCCACCACCACCTCCACCTCCACCGCTACCTGGTTTCACGGGAGGCCCTCCCCCTCCTCCGCCTCCGCCATTACCAGGCTTTGCAGGAGGACCGCCTCCACCACCACCTCCTCCCTTGCCTGGATTCAGCGGAGGTGCCCCGCCGCCCCCTCCACCTCCACCTCCGGGTGCGCCGCCGTTGCCGGGAGCCTGGAAAGGAGGCTATCTCCCGGTCGTTCAAACGACGGGGACAACTGGCGTCGGTCTTCCCTTCATTCGACCGAAAAAGAAACTCAAAGCTGTTCATTGGGACAAAGTAGACACGCCAGAGATCACAGTATGGGCGGTCCACACGCCCAACAACGCATCTAAAGAAGAAAAGTACACGGAGCTCGCT